GTCATCCATCATTGACTTAAACAGCGATAATAAGCGCAACAAATCATTTGATTTACACTTAACTCATTATAATTCTCGTGTCATTACAACTGACCATCAGTTGAATGAACGCTTGAAAGCGAAGGCAGCACTTCATTACAACTCATATACATTTGATTTCCCGAAACAGCATTTAGTTTACTTGAGTGTCGACTCTCCGGAACCGTTGCTAACTCTAGACACCCGTCACGCGTATATCATCGGCCTCTCCGCCGGTCACACGAGTCAACAGATCAACACTTATAGTCTGGCGACTAGTGATGGCATCCGAAGCCGTCGACTGCCGATCGACGAGTTCGTGGTCTGGGAGTGGAATAATCAGGTGTTGTCTCCGTTCCAGACGTTTGCCATTCTTCTGGACTTTTATCGCACAAACGATTGGATCAAATCCATAGTCAGTAATGTTAACCCCGATATGATCTCAAAAATTGTATGATTTGTTTTACATTAAATGTTAAATTCTTATATTTATTTCAAAACAAATACAAATTAATGGTTATATAAGAAGTTATTAATTGATATTAAATTAATATTTTGAATGACAAATGAATAGTATATGAGATCTGAATGTGTTTTAAATGAAAACATGTATTCATTAATGACTATTATTTACAAAATTAAATGTAATTCACAACAAAAATATAATAATAAGTCCTAAACTGTATTAAGCGCTCGATTGCTATCGTCTTAAAGCGAAAGTTGAATCCAAAGACACTATTTAATCAGTTTTGAAAGCCTTAAGACGTTGAAGAAGTGTTGGGTGCGAGTGATTCCACGCCGAGTACAGGTTGTCATTGACAGGAGAGCCGAGATTATCCATAAAGAGTCGGATGAGCGACGACCGCATGTGTGGACCCTTTTTCATACTCTTCTCGAAGGCGTCGGCGCCCGACTCGAAGCGACGGCTCAAACACATGAACGCAAACCATAACAAGTCATTCAACGGCCAAAACACGAACCGAAACATGAGATAAAGTCCGACAAAAACGGGTCGTTTGTCCTCAAAGCCGAACGCACTGAAGAGGACCTCATTTTGATAGAGCATTGAGTAGAGAGTGATATACACGAGAAGTACGGTCTCAGCGACGGCCAAATACTTGAGCGCATGACTCAGATACCAGTGGCCCAACTCGTGGGCCATAATCGACACGATCTCTTCGTCAGTGCAGCCCATCTTCTGGTGCGACGACGACTCGCTTGTGTCCGCACTTTTGGTTCCCTTTTGGCGTTTATTGGTGTGAAAGTCACGGAAGAGTGTGTCGTATAAAACGATTTGTTTGTTTTTATAGATACCGAAGAAGTAGGCGTTTGAATGCGCCGATCGTTTGGACCCTTTGATCACATATATCTTCTTCAGCGGGAAATCAATACTTTCGGCCAATCGCTCGATACTAGTCTTGAGCTGTCCGTCGGGTAAAGGGGTGAACGAGTCAAACAACGGTGCGATCAAATCGGGGTATATTGTCATCAGGAAGAGGGTCACAGCAAACGAGTACAGCCAGAGATAGACACCGAAGTATTGGCCGCCGTTTTGGATGATATAAACCGCGGCGCCGATGACTGCGCCCACTATTGTTTGCATTACCACAAACTTCATGAGCCGGTCTTTGGCGTAGAAACCGATCGTTTGTTTATTAAACCCATACTTCTGTTCGACAACGAATGTCCGGTAAAGGCTGATCGGCAGATCCGCTATTGTCGACAATAGGGATCCAATCGTCACGAAGACTAGCGTTTGGATCAATTCATTGTTGGCGGCGAAGCCCAGAGGCGGCAACAATTGGTCCGAAATGCGCCACAAAAGTGGTATCACTTGAAACCAGAGGACAAAAGCTGTCAACAAGTGGTGGTAGACATCGGCCACAATCCACACCCGAAGCCTAAGACTGTTGTATTGAATGCATTTGTTGAATGTCTTGAGATCAAAGTCGGGTCTGAGCTCTTTGGGCACCAGTTTAGCCGATCGATAGACATTGAGCTATACATCAAGAAAAGGATTAGATGTGACGGTCAGTCATGTCAGTCAACTGTCACTGAATACAGACCTGTCTTGTGGTCAGATATATCTCCCGCGAGAGTGAGAGCCATAGGTATGCGAAGACAGCGACGAAGACATTGTTTTCGGTGCAATAAGTGGTCAATTGTTGGCCAATATATTCAATGAACAGACAATGCATTGTCTCTCACGAGTCGGACGTGTGTTTGAAATGCAATTTACAAACCATTCAAACAGTGATTGCATTGAAATTGTCGTGAATTGCAGTTTAAATGCACTAAACGTTTGCAAAACAAACACTGATTTCGATATTTTGAATCCAATTCTCTCTTTCACTACAAATAACGTCCGCTTTTTTGCACAAAAATAAAAGTTTTTCAAACAAAGTTTGGCAATAAATTGATTGTAATTGTAATTATTATTTGCAATTTAATTGTGATTATCATTTCATATTTACAACTCATTGCATTCAATGCTAATTATAAACTAAAATCACAGTTAGTCTGACAATCACTTATTATTTGCAATTAATGGCAAATGATATGCAAATAATATGTTTATCGACTTTTTTAATTGTTCTGGGTAAAACTATTTGCCTTATTTAGTATTCAAATTGTATAACAAGCTAACCATGCTCAGTTATTGTTAATAACACAGTCAAATACTGTACCCCTCAACCATCAAGTCATGCCTTATATGTAACCATTGAATAAATCAATAAAAATGTGCGTAAATTTTCACTTTATTTCAAATTTAAAAAACATAACTTTTTTTTGCATTAAATATTATAATTATAATTCATAGTAAACATCGCTTAAACATCTCAATCGATATATAATTCATATATAAATTAAAATTAAAAAAATTGTGTATAATTTTTAAGTTTTAAATACAATGAACGATAAAATTTGTTATTTAATTAAACTAAAAATATATTTAAATATGTTAAACATTAAAACCCTATTTACACTTCAAATCAATCCAAATGAATATAACGAGAGGTATTAACAGTATATACGCCGCGATTTCAAAGGCCAGTCCCGGGTATGTGTCGATACTGGCGGCGAAAATGCTGGTATAGAAGACTGAGGCCAGGGTTGGCATAATTGACTCAACGGTGGCCATCAAACTGAACACTTTTCCCGACTCGTCTTCGTGTATGATCTTTGAGAGACGCGATCGGATGGCTATCATAGAGATGGGCGCAAACATACCGGCGATGAACGAGAGGTAGAGACCGGACGGCCGCTGCCACGACCCTCGCAGCAGACATTGCAATAGTAGTGACACCACACCTATTATACCTGTATTCAAATGTATTGCTTTGTTAGTTGAGTTGTCAAATCAATTTGATATTATTTTAGAGATTTTTGTTTTTTTGTGCAAAAAAATTTAATGTATTGAAAATTCTTTGCATAATTTTATATCTTTTATATAAATAATATGTGTTAACAAAAACAAATTGACTTATTGATAGAGTGACACGATTTATGTAATAAAGTATTTGAAATTTGTATTTTGGATTCATTGCGAGAAATGGATTTTCACTTTCTGTTTGATAATTCAGTTTTGTTAAGACTTTGAGCAAAAGCAATGGTTTTGTAAACATTAAAAAACGAGATAAAAAACTGAACGATAAGATCGAGAGTTCACTGGATTTTGCAGGGAATAGATATCATGTGATTTTGAGTGAAATATTCAGACCAAACCAGTGGTAAAAAATAATAAATTATTTCAAATAAAATATATTACATAAATGTTTAGATAGCAAAACATCAAAACTAAATGCATGCTATAATCAAACATTAAAATAGTTATAATTATAAAAACATATATCACACAAAATATCTAAATTGCAAAAATGCATACCTAATAGCATATCACGAACTTTCATTTTCTTCATAAACACGGGTATAATAATGGCCATCGAAATGATGGTAAACACCGTAACCAATGAGTTGATGTTGGAGTAGTCCTTCGCGCGCCAACTGTACAACTTCTCCACGTATTGCCATAGTATTATCATTGATCCCATGTATGACAACATCACGCAACAGATGGACAGCATTAACAGCCATATCTGGGTTCGCACTTTGTTTGCCCGCCGTTTGACACACGTGTGAAAGATGTCCATCACATTACTTATGTCGAAGAGTTGTCTCAGATGGCGGCCCACTGTGTCGCTGATGGACTGCACCGATCGGATCTCAATGTCTTCGTTGATGGACACGTCGGCAGAGCTCGACTCAAACAATTCGCGGTTCACTATACAGATGACCGGCTCTTTGGGCTTCTCGTTGATCACGATTAACACCCATATAAGTGCTGCTAATTGACCGCATAATGACACTGCAATTCAAAGGCAAACAATTCAAATCAATGTAACCAAACATTTGGATATACAGTACAGTATAGATATGCAATAAATCAAATCTAAAATATCATAAAATAATAATAAAATATTCCACATATTATTACAAAACACTGATAATGGCATTGAATTTGGGAATGATATGAAATTTTGT